CTGGGCCGTACAGCAGGGCAACGGCGCGCCCCAGCGCCTCTTCCGGCGTCCGCCGCCGTGACGTCACACGCCGCGGCGGGGCGTGACCAGCCCCCAAGAGCCCGCCCTGCCCCTGCGGGAGCCCCAGAGACAGTGCCGCTCCGCCCGCAGTGCCGGCCTGCCGGTCCCAGGCCGCGGCACGCCCTCCCTGGCCGGCCCGGGCGAGGGGCTCCTGCCTTTCTGTGCCTCATCATCACTAGGAGCCCCTCGTGCCTCGGGTGCTCCCGACGCTTCAGCCCCGCACAGCGCATGTACCCAGCCCCAGGAGCAAGAGCGTCACCGTGCTGCCCCCACCCGCGCCACAGCCCGCTCCTCTGCGCTGCGCCGTTCCCCTGTCGCCGCCTCCGGCCCGGCGGCCGCCCGCGTCCTCACCCCGCTGCAGCCTGCAGGGGGCTGTCTGTGCAGCTGTGTGATGTTTCCTCCACGGGACTCGACGCTCCCCGAGGACGAGGGACCACGTCTGTCCTGATGGCTCCCGAACCCCCGGAACCTAGCCCGTTCTTCCCTCGTCCTCGCCAGTCGAGGGATGAGGGTCCGCTGCCTGCATAGCAGGAGGAGGGGCGCCACCCCGTCCCTCACAGGCCCCATGTAGTGCCCAGATTGTCGGCCTCGTCACCAGCCAACACCGAGGTAGAGCAGGGCCGCTCTGGGCCACGGACGACAGCCCCCTCCTGCTGCCACCTGCCTCAAGGCGTGGGGCGTTGGGCCTTGCCCCTCTGCCGGTCTGCAGGGCCTTACCCTGCTGCCAGCTCCCCTCCCAGTGTTCCAGGCCGCCTCCCATCTGTCCCCAGCCCCAGCTTCATGAAATCAACCTTGAGGAGTGAGCTTGACTCCTTCTCCCCCCCAGTCCACCCCTCCCCTCAGACTGGCAACCATCGCTGGCCCCCTCTGGGCAAGGGGAGGCCCTGGCTGAAGCCCTAAGCCACACCCGCCCCCAGTCTGCCTCTGTGCTCACCTTGCCACCTCCTTGGGACCTGCCTGAGCCCTGTCTTTCTTGCATGAATCATCCACTCCCTCCCCTGTACTTCTTGAGTTACTGAAAACTTTAATTTTAAAAATGATGAGATGAGATCATTCTCTGCACCCTGGACCTTAGCCAACTGTCCCACACCCCTCCCCTTCCCGAGGGCAGAACGGCGGGCAGTGCAGAGTGGGAGCTCTGCAGTCAGACCGCCCAGCACTAGGTCTTGGCTTAGCCCCAACTAGCGCGCACAGTGACCCTGTGGGATGGTGATCACACCACCTGGGTTTGTGGGCACTGGCCTCAGCTTGCCCCCCTGCCACCAGGAGTGGAGTCAGCCCCAGGCGGTTTCGTTACATCCCACCATTTGGACCCCTCCTCGTTGTCTTTGCCATCTTCGAGGTCCAGGAAGCTGGAAGCGGGTAGAAGGAGTGCCGTCCTTGTGTACAGGTGGGGAAACAAGCCCAGGCCCAAAGCCTGCCTGTGAAGCAGAGCTGAGGGCTGGAACAGCTCTCCAGGCCTCAGCAGTGCCCCACGCCCTGTCTGAGCCTCAGCTTCCACAGAGAGTGACGACAGTGCTGTGTCCCTCAGGGTGGCTGTAGGATGAAATGACCAGGAATAAAGCAGCCTCCTCGGGCTTCAGTTCTTGGCCCACAGGCCCAAGGTTGGGTTGATGTGCATTACCTGATGTGGTAGCTGAATAACGTCCCCCAAAGAGTCCACGTCCAAATCCCCAGGAGCTGTGAATAAGTGACCTTACAAGGTAAAAGGGACTTTACTGATGTGATTAAATTAAGGCCTTGAGATGAACAGATGATCCTGGATTATGAGGTTGAGCCCAGTGTAATCACAAGGGTCCTTATAAGAAGTTGACGGGAGGGTCCAAGTCAGAGAGAAAAGATGTAGAGATGGAGGCAGAAGTCAGAGTGATGCGTGGCCAAGAGCAAAGGAACACTGGTGGCTTCTAGAAGTTGCAAAAGACAAAGAAATGGATCTCCCCTGAAGCCTCCAGAAGGAACACAGGGCTGCCAACTGGGGGAAAATAAATGTGTGTTGTTTGAAGCCACCACGTTAGTGGTGTTTTGTTATAGCAGTGATAGGAAACTAATACGCTCAGGTGACCCTTGGCTTCCCCACTAAAGAGCTGCTGCCTTGGGAGAGCCAAGACTCAGAGGAAGTGGCTGAGGTGACCCTGACATTGGGTGTCCAGCCCTAGCTGCAGGAGGGTGGCTGACAGGTATCCCCTAGCTTCTTGGGCTAGTGTCTGGGCAGACTGTCCAGCTTCATGGCACAGCCACTTGGGGTGTGAGCCCAGGGTCAGGTCTTCAGACTGGTGGGCACAGCAGGCAGCTGCTCAAGTTTAATTGGCTCCTCCAACTACTGGGAGAGACCGAGCCAGACAGGGTGGGTCCCCATTAATTAAGGGTGTGGGTGTCACAGGCCATGGCTCCTGGGGGGGCCATGGAGAAGGTAGCTGCAGTGTGGTCAGGACGAGGAGCCCATGTGGTCCTCCCAGGCTCCTCTTTAGCCACCTCGGTCCACCTCTGAGCCCAGCTCTGCTGAGTGGGGAAGACAAGCCTCCCCTATCCCAGCCTCAGGAAGGGGTTGGCCTGGGTCCTTGGGCAGGTGCCACTCCCCCTGGAGCCCCACTGTTAACCTGGTGTCTCCCAGTATCACCTGATGAGCAAGGACTGGCTGGGGAGGGGTCCTTTAGTCCCAGAAGCACCCAGGTGTCCTGCTCCTCTAGGATCCTCAGACCCAAGTCCCTAGGGCAGGTTGGGGAGGGCTCCAGTCCCCACCTCTGTCAGCCTGTGATGTCCAGACAGCAGGAACAGGAAGGCTGGCAGACGGGCATTGGAGCCTTCTGCTGCCCCAAATCCCAAGCTGGCCCACAGGGACTGCTGGGTCCATCGCCAGAGGGGCTGACAGAGGCACTGGGGGACGGAAAGAAACCAAGCTCTGGGCTGGCCCATGGCTCACTCGGGAGAGTGTGGTGCTGATAACACCAAGGCCACAGGTTCAGATCCCTATATAGGGATGGTCGGTTAGCTCACTTGGGAGAGCGTGGTGCTGACAGCACCAAGTCAAGGGTTAAGATCCCGTTACCGGTCATTTTTTTTTTTCCTTTTTGTCTTTTTTCGTGACTGGTAACGGGATCGCAACCCTCGGTGTCGTGCCTGCACTGCACTCAACCAGTGAGCGGACCGGTCTCTATATGGGATCCGAACCCTCGGCAGGAGCGCCGCTGCGCTCCCAAGCGCCGCACTCTACCGAGTGCGCCACCGGGCCGGCCCCTTACCGGTCATCTTTAACAAAACAAAAAGAAACCAAGCTCTGGATGACCAGCACCTGGACACGCCCAATATTGCACCATCCCCTGAGCCTATGAGCCAAGCCGTGCAGGTACAGAGGAAGGGGACTGGCGACAATGCCCAGGCCTGAAACAGGCACTCAGTTGTGGGGGAGAGTAAGGCAGTTAGAGGACAGGGGAAGAGAAGAGGGGGAGGCTGGGTGGGCAAGTTCCCCTCACCTGCTCAGCAGTCCCTAGATCTGCACCAGCAGGCCTGGGACACTCCCCCACCATCACTCTGTGAAGGACTGAGGTGGGTGGGGGTGGCTGAGGATGCCCCCAACTCCATGTTGTGCCCCTCTGGCTGGGCTTGGGGCTGGGCTGGGTACAAGGCTGTGGCTGGGGTGGGGCAGGGATGATGGCAGAGCTTGCTTGGACTGCTGCAGATGCAGCAAAGAGATATCAATCATTGATGCTCTGGGCATCCCTGCCTGCCTGAAGGGGCGGAGTTGAGCAGCCAGGCGGGCAGATGGGGGCAGGGTGGTGGCCCTGCTGCAGAGTGGGGGCCTAGGGAGATACGGCCTGCACCCCAGGTTCTGGTACCCAGCCAAGGAAGGCTATGGGCAACCAGTGGGCCAGGATCAGGGCTGGGATGTGGTTCCCAGTGTCCCCATCACCATGGTCCCAGGAAGGAGGTGGAGCCTGTGCATGTGCAGGAGAGTGCATGGTGGGCCCCAGAGCCACCGCGGATCCACCTGTTGGGGGGACACTAAGAGCCTTGAGGGCTGTCCCGTTTTGGTGAAGGGGAATAGAGGCAGGGGAGAATGTAGGTAGCCCAGGGTCCCCCACCTTCTCACCCAGGACTCCATCCTCATCCTCCCCACAAAGTCACCACAGCAACCTGTGGATCATGCCAGACAATCAGGATGTGTCATACAGAGTGAGGCCACTTCATTTGGACGGAGGCCCAGGGAGCCACATGACCTTGCCAAGGTCACACACCTAGTGGGATGGGGGACATAGAGCTGGGTCTGTGCCCTGAGGTCCCTGATTCCACAAGATTGGCCCTTGTTCTCAGGTCCCCACCCACAAGCCTCTGCAGCCAGACTCACAGACACAGAGGATAGATGGGCAGGCTGAGACCCCGGACAGACTGGGTCCCCACCCAGGACACACCCAGGGCCACAGACAGATGCACACACCCAGGCACACAGGCAGCTCTCTCTCCCTGAGACCAGGGACTGACTCCCGGGCAGACAGAGCAGGCCAGGTTTCCAGGTAGAGAAGCCAGTGCAGGGTCTCTGGTCCCCAGGCAACATTGCTCACCCTGAAAGAAAAACACCATGCCACCAGGAAAGGAGGCTGCCAGGGCCTCTTCCCAGCAGTGACTTGAGAATCCGTCTGACCTGGGGCTGGAAGGCTGCCCAGTGGCTGCAGTCTGGCTAACGGGAACTGCTGAGAGTGAGTCATCCCACCGGCTGGCTCACCTGGGCCCTGTGGGCTGTGCATGGTCCCTGTGTGAGCCCAGGAGTGTGCGTACCTGTGTGTACACATACGTGTGCCTGAATACTGTTGTGCATATGCATGAACGTGGGCCTGAGTGTGTTCCCAAGTGTCTGTGTGTGTATGTGTGTGTGTGCCTGAGTGTATCGGGACACATCCAGGTGATCTGTGTCTGTACTGTTGTGAGTGTGTGATCTTGCTGACAAGTGTGTGTAAATCTCTGTGGCCCTTGTTGCAGCATGGCTTCTCCCTGCCCCAGGAAAAGGGGCGTGTGTGTGTGTGTGTGTGTGTGTGTGTGTGTGTCCATCCCACCCAGCACCACCAGCACATTGCCAGGAATGGTCCTCCGTAGCAGTGGCTGTCCCCTCCTGGTTCTTTTCTGGCCTGGGCTCCCCACCCCCATCTCGGCAGAGCTCCACTCCTGACCCCCACGGTGCCCTCCCTCAGGTCTACGGGAGGCCAGGTCTCAGCTAACTCTGCTTCAGCAGAAACAGAACTCTTTTGGGACCCTCCCCTTCCTGCCTGCTCCCCCAGATGTGCCACCCCCTGCATGGTGCACCCTCTGCATGGTGTGATCTAGAGCCGAGGGAGACCCCCAACCCTCTCCACTCCAGTCTTCAGCAAGTCCCCTCTGCCAGCTTCCAGAATTTCCTGGGATCCTTTGGCTCCCACATTGTTCCCTGGTACAGCTGCTCCTGACTTTCAGCAGTTACCCCCCACTCCCCCAGGAGTCCCCTCTGCCAGCTTCCAGAATTTCCTGGGATCCTTTGGCTCCCACATTGTTCCC